CACCCATCCACAGATCAGTTACATGTACCAGACACCAGGCATGGATTTTGGAAGCAGACAGAAAGGGAGCTCAAATATCAGCTTTATTGCCTCAAGCAATTCTTTCTGAACCCCAGTTTCCTCATTTGCCAGTAAGGACAATAATACCTAACAGACATTATTATTAAGTTAATAAAAGGATTAGAGGCAGTGTATATAAATAAATACAAGCTACTATTTATACATGCATGCATTGATTCATGTAGAGAGGCGTTTGTTCCCAGTTTTCCATGACAAAAGATTTCAAGTAGCCTATGACAAAAGACAAAAAGAACAAGTAAAAAAATAGAAATTAAAAATAAGGAACAAGGAATGCTGAAGCGTTAACCATAAAAGGAAACTTAGTGATTTGCACTTGAAATCTGGTTTTGAGTTTCCTGGCAGCTGAGGCGCAAAGGGAAACCTCAGAACTTGCACAACTGCAGTTATCAGAAAGGAGGAAGGATACTGCCTTCTCAGAGGAGACGAAGCTTTTCCTGGCTCCAAATTTCAAAAGCAACGTCTCAGGAGGTGTTTTCTGCGTTGGTTTGTAAATTACCTGAAATCTTGACTATTCCTTACTACACAGGTTCCCAAAGCTTTAGAACTAGTGATGTAGTAATTGGGACTGGGACAAATTACTGAAGGTAAATGACCCGGATTTCTATGCTTTGGATGGCAATGATATTGTGCCCCAATTACTATCCTATAATTCTTCAAATTCTTTCAGATGAGCTTTCCCTACCACATTCACCCAAAGGACATTTAGACTCACCCCAGAGAAATGTTTTTATTTGTAACTCATGCAGAAGCTTCAGGCTGAGGACAGATCTAAGCAAAAGTACCGATGCATTTTTAGATGAAATAGCTAAATTCAAAAGGCTCTTCACTTTCCCAGACCCCAATCTGGCCAGTGAAAGCCATACTGCTCTCACGTCAAAGGCCACAGTCACCTTTGCGGATCATTAGCACATGAAGTAAACAGCATTTGCAAAACAGTGCTACAGGTGAGCTTTGTCACCCCAGCCTGCAGAGGCACCTCAACTAATCTGCATATGCTAACGTGGGTTTCCAGGGAAGATGCCAAAATAAGCTCCTGTCCTCCCTCACCTTTACTTTAATCCCCACATAGGTTTTGCTTTTACCATATGGTAATTATTTCCAAATCACAAGTGCAAACACTCACTCTGATTGGAAAATTAGCAGATTTCAAACTCAGGTAATTTGTCCCTAATGAGGAACTTGTTGAACTGAATTTAACAATTAACTCATACACCCTTTGCTGCCTGCGGCTAAGGGAGTAAAGCGGGGAAGACTGAAGGGCAAATTGAGGGCTGGGGCCTGGCGGGACTTCGGGAATGAGATGGATGTTGGGATGGGGAAAGGTGTGTTAATGGGTAATGGGGCTGTAGGAACATCAGGAACTTGACTGTTCAAATGGGCGTGTGTGTATATATATATGAATTTCAAATATACGCTCAAAGAGATTAATATAATGAGCCCCCATCTACCCATCACCCAGCTCCCACAATTATCAACTCACCGCTGATCTGGTTTCACCTCTGCCTGAGAAGCTAGAGACTCAGAAGATGGACAGGGAGGAGGAGCAAAAGGAAGATTGAAAGAGCAGGTGGTGCCTCTCCTCTCTCCCATTCCCTCAGGTTCCAAGCTCTCTAGGGTAGAGGTGGGTTGATGAGTTTTAGTTGACTGCTGAGATGGTTAGTGTCTGTCCCCATGCGCATGTTGCATAGGGCTATGCAGAGCCTGGCAAAGGACTGACCCTTGTCTTCTACTCTCTTCCACCCTCCTTGCTCCATGGTGAGGGCCACTTGACCTCTACCTGCAGGTCCTGGTCCAGGTGATAACAGGCCATGAGGATTTCAGGATGTTCCAGCCCAGCGTGGGGAATCAGCATTGTCACTCTCACTCCAATTGTGTGCCCAGCACCCAGGTCATGCCTGAAGCTCAATCCCCGTAATCTGCTTTGCTCCTCCATCCCTCTAGAACTGCACTGTCCCTAACGATAGCCACTAGCCACTCGTGACTATTTATTGAGCCCTTGAAATGTGGCTACTGAGACTAAGGAAATAATTTTTAAATTGTATTTACTTTTAATTAATTTAAATTTAAAAACTGGTACTTGATTCAATTACTGGAAAACTCTTAAGCATGTTTGGAAGGTGAGTCTACATCTTCAACCATAAATTTTATAAAAAACTAAATGCAGGTCAAATATTTCTGATGAAAATTTAGCATCTGAACTGAGACAGTATCTGGAGTTTGAAGACTTAGTAAAAACAAAAAAATTAAAATGTCTCATTACGAATTAAAAAATATTGATAACAGGAATTATAATATTTGGGGTATATTGAGTCGAATAAAATTTATTATTAAAAGTAATTTCCTCTGTTTCTTTTTACTTTTTAATATGTGGCTACTAGAAAACTTAAAATTATATATAGGGCTCAAGTTATACGAGTTCTGTCTGGAAAGTATCCAGCCATGTAATATGAAAAATAGAGACATTTATTGAAGAAGATACAAGAAACATTGTACATGGGACAATGACACCTCAGTCCCCTTCAAAGTAGGCACCTTGGGACCTCACATGGTTCTCCCAGCATCTCTTCTCCTAACTCATACCTGTTCAACATTCTCAGCTGTTCTGCTTGTTGCAGGCCTTCCAGAATGTGGTTCACTTTCAACAGATTCCCAACCATCTTTGAAGCGTTTGTGCCACACTTTTATTTGTGCGGCACTCATTGCATCGTCCCCGAAAGCCTTCTGAATCATCCCAATAGTTTCCATGGAGGAATGTTCAAGCTTAACACAAAATTTGATGCAGATTCATTGCTCTACTCACTAATTCATTTTGAATGTGACAACCACACAGTACCCATGCTCACTCAAGTGTCTAGCACCCCACTCACTTGTACAGTGAGGTCATCAGTGGTCACTCATGTGCTTTACAGTCCACATGCCTTGGCTGCCAGGTTACACTCATGTTGTGCAAACCTCTTGTTATATTAATAATGGCTGGATACTCTCCGGATAGCCCTTGTATTTCTACCAGGCAGCACTGCTCTAAGACTAGGATCCTCCCTTCACTTGCAAGTATCCTCAAGGAATGTAATCCTGTTTCCAAACTCCCACCCTATGACAAACGCCCACATCTGCCTGACATGTCCTGTTATACTGAGCCTACCTGGATTTTCCTGGATGCTCATCCAGGACCACCTTCTCTGCAACCTGTTGGAGCATTCTGGGGCCACCTGCATTCACACAACAACCTCACTGCCAATGCTTTGCAGTTAAGTCCTAAAGATGAGGCCATAGAAAACCAATTTTGAATTTGTCCTGGGTTAGCATCCAGATTCTCACAATATTAAATAAGTGAAAAGTTTACTCACAAAACATAGCCATCTAATATCCTCAAAAGGGAAGTGGCATCGAGGTACCAATTAGGAGGGGATCAATAGAAGGAAATCAAAGATTGCCACACAATCATCTAAAACAAAGCTGAATTTATTTACCTTCCTGGGAAGGGAGAACCCCATCCATCTAGCACAAGTTTGGTGTATGTCTCCATGTAGTGATTCAAAGGACCAGATAGACATAAAGGAAAGAAATATACCAAATCTGATGATATTCTGAGTTCAGGTCTCTGGTTGGCTCTCAAGGCCAAAATATAAACTCTTCTTTGCGAATGGTCATTGAACTGCTTCACTTATTGAAACTCCAGGCACCATTTCCAATTATGTCCAGGATGGTCTGATGGGATGGCTCAGTGTCACTCAGATGTCAAATTTGATATGTTTGCTTGAAGTAGGCCGAATTTCTCTTTAACAACATCAGTATCAAATTAGTAATAGGATCATTCAAGTAAGATTCAAGTAATATTCACCATTTATCTCTTGACTAACGTCTTCCAGAAATGCAAGACCAAAGGTCCTTTTATTTTCTTAAGGCAAAAGGCAGAGAAACATACAAGTGTACTTAGAAAACAAGTATTATACAGACAGGTAGCCCTTCAAAATTGTAACACAGCAAAATATAAGAGACACTAAAACAAATACCTCTACACGAATATTGATAACAGCTTAATTCACATAGCCAAAATGTGGCAACAACCCAAGTGTCCATCAATGGATCAATGGGTAAACAAAAACAAAATGTGCTACATACAAACAATGGCATATTATTGAGGCACAAAAAGGAATGAAGCAATGATACCTGTTACGACCTAGATGAACCTTGAAAACATGTGCTGAGTAAAAGAAGCCAGACACAAAAGATCACATACTTTAGGATCACATTTACAGAAAGTATTTAGAATACATAAATCCATGGAAACAGAAAGCAGTTTAATAGTGGCCAAGGCCTAGGGGGAGGAGGGTGAAAAATGAGTGCTTAATGGGTACAGGGATTTCTTCCTAGGTGATGAAAATCTTTGAAAATAGATAGAGGTGGTGGTTACACAACATTGTGAGTGTGCTAAATGCCACTCTAAATTGTACTCTAAAATAGCTGTTACATGAATTATACTTCAAATTTAAAAAATGGATAAAGAAAGGGAAAAAAGACAACAGAAAAGCTTGGGGAACTTTGAGTCCAGGTGAAACAAGAAAGAGATGAGGGAGAAGGGACTGCTGAAAAATTAATGATGATGAATAAACAAAGGGAAGAGAAGAGAAAGAAAGAGGGGAGCTCTATGTAAATATCTAACAGGGCCAGAGACATTTAAAAAACAAATAAAACAAACTTTCAAATGTTTAGCCATTAAATTTTTGCAAATAACCTACTGTTGTAAACCATGTAACTCAACTTTATAAAGAGAGAGAAAACAAGACATCCCAGAGGGGCCTTTTCAAGGCCAGGGACAGCAGCCTTGGAGGAAGAGAGCCAGGCTCTGCAGGGCACTGAGTGCGGATGGGGCCTGTGAAAGGGCTGGGGACTGTCACACAAGCAAATCTGACACCAATTTCATTCCACAGCTTTGGAGATCTCTGATGTACTCATTCCAACGTGACAATGTGACTAGCACCTTTTTGTCATACTTTATTTTTCTAAATGGATTTGTAGTAATTACATTGCAAACATTGTAAAAAGCCTTTTAAACTCAAGAAGTACCAATTACATTCTTTGGGAAGATGTTTCTCAAAGTTCACAGGTCACCTCTGTACATATTATGTGCAATGAAACCATTTTACAGAGCAACGGCAATGATCTTCCTGTTGCCTGAGACAACATGGGTGAACCTTGGGCACATCACACTGAGTGAAATAAGCCAGTCACAAAAGGAGGAAAATCGTATGCTTCTACTAACATGAGGTCCCCAGAACAGTCAGACTCTTGGAGACAGTAGACAGAAAGTGCCCCGAAGGGGCTGGGGGAGGGCAATGGGGACTGGCATTCAACGGGCACAGACTGTCACTTTTTGCAAGATGAAAACAGCCTGGAGATCTGGGGCACAACCATGTGGCTGTGCTTAACACTACTGAACTGGACACTTACAAACGGTTAAGACAGTAAATTTTACATTGTGTTTTTAACACAATTAAGAACTTTAAAAATCCTACTCATCTTGTTAAAATATTAACTTCAACTATACTGGTATCGCAATTTTATTGTTTAGCGAAATTATAAGCTTTAGGAGCATAAACTGAACCTACTTGGGATTTGGATACACTTTAAAATATTATATTAAAATATTTTTGTTAATTACAACAAAAAGGAATAACTTCAGCAAAACCTTCGAGTTGATTAAATCGCTTCCCTGTTTCCATATAAATTTCATGGGAGCGTGCTTCTGTATAAAGTGTGTACCTTAAAGTGTAAAACATTAATCGACACATTTAAAACACCAAATCTGAAGTAAAAACGGGCAATTAATTTGGATCAGTGCTCCTGTGTTTCTAAAAAAGAGAGAGAAAATGACTGAAGACTCAGGACTTGGGAGGGCCCGGGGGGCCTTTCTTCTTTTTCCCTTTGGGCTGGCTTGCTGCGTGGCCACGCAGACGCAGCTCAGCTGTTTGAGTGGATGCTGTGGCCAGAGCCACCGGCTGCTGCGAGCCTCCCAGCTGCGGCTGCAGCTGCTGCAGTGGCAAGGCAGGGGGCAGCTGGGACGCCTGCTGAGGAAGGCTCTGCCCGGGTCTTCTCTGCGCAGGGCCAAGCTGAGACACCACAGCTGCTTGGGGCTGCTGGACACTTCCCGCTCCAGAGAGGTTAACCACAACGGCCTGCTGAGCGGGCAAGGCCTGGCCCTGACTGCTCGAAGCTTGTACGGAAGCCTGTGGCACTGGCTGTGGAGGCCGAGAAGTTATGGTTCCCTGAAAGTGCTGCTGCGGAATCAGCAAGAACTGCTGCTGCTGCTGGGTGTTCAAAAGGAGGGAACCAGGTGGGACCTGGAGCAGAGCTAAGGGCCTGACCCCTGAGGCATCTTTGGCAAAAAGCTGAACACCTGCTGGAGAAGTCGCCTGCACTACGGCAGGCTGTGCCTTTGGAAGCTGACCTCCTGAGGACGGAGGGCCGCTCGCGCCCATTGCTGCGGGGGCCAAGGCAGCAGTGGGACGGCCCAGCGCGGCGTTTGAACCACTCGCCAAAGCCTGGTTTCCAGGGATCGGGCCCAGCAGTCTGACGACCTTCGGGCCAGCGTCCTTTGCCATGGCCTGGGTGGCCGGGGTTGCTGTGGAAGAGCTGGCGGAGACCTGGACACTGAGATCCACAGAGGACTTCCCGGACAGACCTGGAGCTGCAGGAGGAGCAGGAGCACGAGGAGGAGCAGGAGCAAGAGACTTCAGAACTCTGCCTCCCAGTTTTAGAGGAAAATTGTTTCCCAAGGAACTCTTTCCTGAGCTTGAGGGAAGCTGGCTAGGTGGGGGCTGATGTTTTACTCCTTTCCCCAACACTGGAGGCTGGACGGACATGGGCTTAGGCTCCCATGGTTTTTTCACTGCAGAAAAGTGACTGAGACTGGCTGAGCCACTGGTGCTCTGCGACATCTTGCCTGGACTTTTGGCTTTGCTCTGGACCGACTCCTGGTACTGATGGACCACCCTGGCAGCATCAGTCCGAGACCCCGGCCTGAGACCATCTGAATGGTCACCAGAGGAGATGGTGTGGGGACGAGTGTGGCTCTCACGTCTGGCTTCTTTACCTTTCCGAATTTGACCAGAGAGAAGTGGATCATGAAACGACTGCATGATGCTCAGCTTGGTTTTCTGGGACTGATCACCAGCTTCCCATTCAAAGACACAATCATATACCTCCTGAGCTGGCCACACCGGCCTGAGAACATCTGAAGCATCACCTGACGAGAGGGCGGTGGGGCGCGTGTGGCTCTCACATCTGGCTTCTTTACCTTTCCGAATTTGACCAGAGAGAAGTGGATCATGAAACGACTGCATGATGCTCAGCTTGGTTTTCTGGGACTGATCGCCAGCTTCCCATTCCAAGACACAATCATCTACCTCCTGAGCTGGCCACACCGGCCTGAGAACATCTGAATGGTCACCTGAGGAGATGGTGTGGGGACGCTTGAGGCTTTCACGTCTGGCTTCTTTACCTTTCCAAATTTTACCAGAGAGAAGTGGATCATGAAACGACTCCATCATGCTCGGCTTTGTTTTCTGGGAATGATCGCCAGCTTCCCATTGAAAACCACAATCATCTACCTCCTGAGTTGGCCACACCGGCCTGAGAACATCTGAATGGTCACCTGAGGAGAAGGCAGGGGTACACATGTGGCTCTCACGTCTGGCTTCTTTATGTTTCTGAATTTTACCAGAGATAAGCGGATCATGAAATGACTGCATGATGCTCGGCTTGGCTTTCTGGGACTGATCACCAGCTTCCCATTCAAAAACACAATCATCTACCTCCTGAGCTGGCCAGACAAGCCTGAGACCATCTGAATCGTCACCTGAGGAGGCGGCAAAAGGGTACATGTAGCTCTCATGTCTGGCTTCTTGACGTTTCTGAACTTTACCAGAGAAAAGTGGATCATGAAATGACTGCATGATGCTCCGCTTTGTTTTCTGGCACTGATCGCCAGCTTCCCATTCAAAGACACAATCATCTACCTCCTCACCTGCCCACACCGGCCTGAGACCATCTGAATCGTCACCTGAGGAGACAGTGGGGGAAAATGCGTGGCTCTCACGTCTGGCTTCTTTACGTTTCTGAACTTTACCAGAGAAAAGTGGATCATTAAACGACTGCATGATGCTCGGCTTGGTTTTCTGGGACTGATCGCCAGCTTCCCATTCAAAGACACAATCATCTACCTCCTGAGCTGGCCACACCGGTGGTGGCGACTCATCATATCTGACAGACGGTTTCCCTCTAGCATCCACTTCCGAAGGCACAGCCAAATCACAGGGTCTCCGTTTCCACATATCTACACGATTTCCTGCTTTAGAAATTTTCAGGTCATAATGCTGGCCTGCTTTTCTTTCTTGTTCTTTTTTGGAAGAAGCCAGAACTCTGAGTTCTGGGGGAGCTGGGCAGTCAGACAGTTCCTCCTGCCGATTTAGAGAGAACCAAGAATACCTCTGGAAGCTCCGATTCATTGGGGCAGTATTCATCTTTTGCTTGTTATACAGCAGCCTGTTTGTAGCACAGGCGACCGCCACAGAAGGATCAAGGCACAGTGGCTCTGCTGTCGCTAAGAGCAGTTGGCTCTCAAGCCTAAGTTTGTCTTCCTGGGTCCATTTGTGGCCATCACTTGCAATTGACTGAACGTCACAGACTAAAGTCTGCATCGTTGGACGTAAGAGAATGTGCCTACTTTGGTAACCAGGAGGTTCCCCACTACTCCACTGCCTATAGTCACGGATTTCTGCTATGACACACCCAGAATGAAAAATGTTAATCTGGGATTTTTCCAGCAAATCAACCAGAATAGGAGGTAGCTCCTCTGCATCAAAGTAGTCAAGCAATTCCCTTTCTTCGTAAGGGACTCGAATGGTCTCTGAACAGGAGTCATTTTGTCCCTTCAGCATGAGAGAATAGCCCTCGTTTCCTGGGTACAGGTTGACCACTAAACATGGCAAGGACTCTCTCCTAACAAGCTTCTCTAACAAGTTAACGTTGCTTCTCAATTCCTCCGTATCCTCAGGCTCTTTTTCACACTCCTCAACATAAATGTCATAAAGTTTCTGATCTAGACTTTTTTCCCCACTAGATGAGTATCTCCTTCTCGGAGGTCTCTGCTGAATACTTTCAATGACAGACTCTGCACGATCCAAAGCTCGTTCTAAAGCTCGTCGCATTGTAGTGTTAAACAGGGGCCCTAAAGAAGAGAAAACGTACGTGCGTGGGTGAAGCGGGGCCAAACTCCTCTGGGGAATATTAACTGTAGCCCTGGGAACCCTGCAAGTGCTCAGCGGAGCAAACACCCTTAGTTCAATATGGGCACCAGCAAACCCACCCGAAAGAAGCGCTACACAAAACTGCACCGGGATTAGGAAAGTACCTGTAGCTGCGGGGAGGCCTCGGCTTCGCGTGAGACACGTCGCGTGTCGCGCGTCACGCGTCAGAGCCGCTGTGCCGGAAGTGGATGTGAGGGGCCAGGGTCGCGCCCCGCCCTTGTGCGCATGCGCACTGCCCAGACAGCCCAGGCCTCAGGCTTCGCATTTCTCTGGGCTGCAGGGCGCGAGGCTCACAGGGCAAACTTCCTCTTCTGGTGCCCTCACTTCTGCTGAACCGGGGGTTGCGGGGTTGGGGTGCCGGGGGCTGGGGGACCCGTCCGGGCCCTTTCTTTTCCGGTAACGTTAAAAGCATGCGCACAAAAGCACAAGCAACCAATGAAATCGTAGACACATCTTGTGCACAGTTGTAACATATACCGATTTTCAGAGAAATGCGAATGCCGGGACATTCATGGAATGTAATTTGGGTGGAAACTTCAGGACTTATTTGCTGTTTGGGGAATGTCTTGTCGCCCATGGCAGGGCTCCTCCTGGCACCCATCAGCAATTCAGCTCACCCGAGTGAGTCTGCAGTGGTCGCCCCTACATGCAGGCGGACTCCGGATATTTGTTGCAAGCGTCAGCATTCTTCACCGTATCCTCCGGTGAGCTCCTGCCAAGGGCTTTTCATACACAGGTACACATAACATGACGTTCTCATACTTAACCAGTTACCTTTGATTTCTCCATGTATAATATTAGAGTTAGGGCATTCTATGGTTTTAAAAAAATTATGTGGTGGGTCTTTACATCGTCTGTGGATTACAATTCAGGATAGTAAGGAAACATTAGACTGTTTTTGAAAGGTCATTTGCACGTGATAGAGATTAGAACAGTTTTCCAGTTGATGACAATAAATTTTAAATAATTAAACTGTACATCATACCTATGGTCCTAATGACGAATTTTGAGTGGCATAATTGAGTCTTAGATAATTCATAGGGCATTGTTTTCCATTTATTTTGTTGCCTTGAAATTCGACAGTCTTTTTGAACAGCTGCTTAAAATAATCTTTTGATGTTTAGATGTAGACATAGTGGTAATATAATTTCACGAAAAGAAAGTCTCAGTAATGAGAAGAATCTAAAATCGGAGAACCTCCTGAATTACAGACTACTTTAAAATAAATGTGTTTTTTTTTACTCATAGTAATAATTATTATATATTGAAATAGATACAGCAGTATATTGGAGTTGGACTTAGAACTTTTTGACTAAGAGTTTTCTTTATAGATGGCCCTGATTGAGGAATAGACAAGCATGATTTTTTTTTTTTTGAGACAGAGTCTCACTTTGTTGCACAGGCTAGAATGAGTGCTGTGGCATCAGCCTAGCTCACAGCAACCTCAAACTCCTGGGCTCAAGCAATCCTTCTGCCTCAGCCTCCCGAGTAGCTGGGACTACAGGCATGCACCACCATGCCCAGCTAATTTTTTCTATATATATTAGCTGGCCAATTAATTTCTTTCTATTTAAGGTAGAGACAGGGTCTCGCTCTTGCTCAGGCTGGTATCGAACTCCTGACCTCGAGCTATCCGTCCGCCTTGGCCTCCCAGAGTACTAGGATTACAGGTGTGAGCCACTGCGCCCAGCCAAAGCATGGTTTTCTAGTAGCATATCAATTGTCTTTGGGCAAGTGGATACTTCTGGATATAATAAGGGGCTTGAAAATGATTTTTTTTTAATTTTTAATAAAGCCCAAATTAGTGAGATGTGGCCATGAGTTTTGACCCTCAATCAAAACACTACCTTATCCTTCCAAGTTCCATAGATGAACTTAGGTGCCTACCAGACACCGTGCCTATCATGATCTGTTCACTTACTATTCTTAGGAATCTGCCGTGTGTTAAATCTGAAAGGTATCAGTTCAGAAACAGTATTCTATTTAGGTAAGAAAGCTAATGAGAGAGGGAAAGCCCTGCTTTACTTGCTGATCTGAACTAGAAATGTTGTTGGACAAGAAGCAGCATAGTAGACCTTGTTTGAGCCAGGCTATCCTACCAAAAAAAAAAAAAAAAAGTCTCAAGATTTTTGTTGGCTTTCCTTGACCTGAAGACTAGACGTCCTAGCTTCTTAGGATGGCTGGAACTAGGGTGAAGCAAGCGAGAAGCTAGGGCACAAAATTGAAGGCACACTCAATTTTCAGGGTTGTGCAAATGCCATCAGGGTTGGTGCCCTCAGCACTTGCACCCCCTATCTCCATCCAAGCCCTGCAAAGGAGTCTCCACATTGCCTGGTGCCTGCCTTGTTTCCAGCCTCATCCCTCTCTTCTCCTTTATGTGTTTTTATGCTCTGAGCATAGTCACCATACCACAGGTAGGACAGCCCTTTCTTTCATAGCTGCGTACCCTTGCAAAAGGATGATTCCTTTGCCTGAGAGACCCCTTTGTGCTTAGTCACCTGCCGCTCTCCACCTATTACCTCAAATATCCTGTCTTGACCTCCAAAAAGCGTGACTCCTTCTCCCTGCTGTTCTGCCATAGCACATACGCCATATGCCTTATTAGAGCCAGGCACGCCCTTGGGAAGGAGTGAAGTGTGTGAGTGCAGTTTCCCCACACCCAGCCTCTGGGGCTTCTGAGGGCAGGTACTATGTCTTTTCCATTTTGTTTGATCACCAACTTCAGCTGTGATTGGCATATAGTAAGCACTATAGAATGGATGAATTAATCGCACCTAGCTCCAGTCACCTCAACTCATGACCCATAAGACCTTGTGAAGTATATCTTCCATCCCCGTTTGGAGATGAGAAAAGTACCCAGAACCAGGTCTTTTGGCTCTGGTGTTGCACTGTGGCAGGGTTTCTCAATCTTGGCACCATTGATATTTGTTGGAGAGGGGCTGTTCTCTGCACTGTAGGACACTTGGCAGCATCCCTGGCCTTATCCACTAGATGCCAGTAGCACTCCTCCCCAGTTCTGACAACCAAAATTGTCCCTAGATATTGCAGAATATCCCCTGCAGGGCAAAACTGTCCCTCTCATTGAGAACCACTCTATATCCTGCTTTATAAAACATGAGCATGGTCCAAAGGCTGCCCCTTAGCTGACATTCCCGGGCCACATCTCACTTGGAGAGAGGGACCTCTGTCCACCCTGTCATAGGATGAACTAGGTCTTCAGTTATTGTATCGACTGTGTCTTCAGTTGGGTTTCTGCAGAAGCACTCCCTGAGCAGAGCATTGGAGTGTGAGTAGATTATTTGGGCACTAATCCCAAGAAGTACTAGTGAGGGAAAGGGGAGCTGAGTCAGGGTGGGGAAGAAGACAATAAAAGGCATGTGCCTGAGCAGAAGACAGCTGTGGCCAACTGTCCATGCTGGGGACCTCTGGGAGACAGTACAGAACAAGCCTCCGATTGTCCTATCCTAGAGACAAGGAAGCTGGAGTCTTTGTTCATCTACTTCTCTTTCTCGTTGGCTGAGGAAAGTCCTGGGAGCATTATTCCCTGACACTCTGATTACCACATACAGGGGCCACCCATGCTGATGTGGCTTGAGAATGCCCTCAGACTGATAGTCACGGGTACTTGCAGTAAGACTGTGTGCACAGAATAGTGAGTACTACGGAGAGATGGGCAGGGCGCCAGCAGCATTTGCTACACTTAGAACTGAAATGGGAGAAGTCAGCCCTTCATTCTTCATGATGTAGATAATGTGCTATGTAATACATCTGGGCATATGGAGAAATGAAATTGTGTTCTTTCCAAGTGAAATGTGCTATTTCATGTAAGAATTTTTCCAGTTATTAAAGACAACAAAGCCAAAAATGAAGGGTGTGACCCACTGTTGAGTCCCAGGAGGGAAGACCCCAAGGCTGCCGGGGCCACAGGCGCACTGGAGGAGGCAGTGCCCCTGGGTGTGTGTTCCAGTGTGTATTACTTGGCCTGGCAGTGCTCATCATGGCTCTGCCATCCCCTTCACTTGGGCTGCCTAATTGCCTGGTGTTCCACAAGATGACAGGTTTTTTTGTTTTGTTTTGTTTTTGTTGTTGTTATTGTTTTGTGTTTTGAGACAGAATCTTACTTTTTCACCTGGGCTAGAGTGTCATGGCATCAGCCTAGCTCACAGCAACCTCAAACCCGTGGGCTCAAGCAATCCTCCTGCCTCAGCGTCTCAAGTAGCTGGGACTACAGGTGCATGCTACCATGCCTGGCTAAGTTTTTCTATGATGAGAGTTTTTAAAAATCACTCTTTGTACACCCTGTTCTTTGAACCTTCAGGCACCATAATGAGCATGCTGGCTGATTATAAGAATTCCACCTTCAGCCCTCAGGGAAGGTTGCAACTCAGCAGAGAATAGCAGAAACTAAAAAATCTCATGGTCAGGCCATGATAGAAGATGAGAATTGAACTTATTGCAAGATAATTGACCTAATTTACAATGAGCAAACTACTTTGTTCTATACCCATTGAGGTCGAGGTCTAAAGTCTTTGCCACTTCTTCCCTGCTGCAGATAATTAGAGGGACCAACAGAGTTTCTAACTACAGGGCACAAAGACTGGGGAACGTGAAAATACTATGCCTGTTGGACATATCCTGGATTAACCTTCCATCCCTTACTCTAAGATTTAATGTATTTCCCCCATGATCATGCCACAGGTATAGTAAAGCAAATTGCAGAGAACATTGTAGCATTGCGTGACTGAGTGAAGATCATTTCCCACAGCCTGTTACGTCATTTAGTGTTTCCACATCGGCTAAGAGTTGTTTATTGGATCTAAGAACTCAGAGCCCATAAGTGCTACATAGCATATTAATCTTCTCCCTTCCCTTTTCCCAAACCCTATCCCTCCTTCCCTTTCTTTCATTTGTGCATCCTTTTACCATTTCATTGAAAAATAAATGAAATTGGATTTTGTTCTGGTTTTATTGTTTTGTTAAGACTTTCATTCTACTCCTGAGATAAGTAGCCATACCCTAAGTAAGGGGTTTTCAACCTCTGCATTGATCACATTTGTAGTGGGGACTGTCCTTTGGTTTGTAGGGTTTTTTATAGCATCTTGGCCTCTACCCACTAGATGCCAGGACTGTGTGTGTATATATATATGCACTGTATGTATATATATT